TTTGTTTCTGGGCTTCCCATCCTGTTCTATTCTTGTATGTGTCTATTTCTGTGCCAATATCATACTGTTTTGATTATTATAGCTTTGTAGTATAACTTGAAATCTGGAATTTTGATAATTTTAGCTTTGTTTTGTATTTTCAAGATTGTTTAGGCTATCTGGGGTCCTTGTGGTTTCACACAAATTTTAGGATCACTTGTTCTAGTTTTGTGAAAAATGCTGTTGGTATTTTGATAGGGATTGCATTAAATCTATAGATTGCTTTGGGTAGTATGAACCTTTTAACAATATTTTTTCTTCCAATCCATGAGAGTGGAATATCTTTCCATTTGTGTGTGTCATATCTTCAGAAATTTTTGGCAGTGGTTTTTCAACCTTTTTTTCATGAGCAAGATAGACCCATTTTAGCTTCTGGCTCTAAGCAGCGACCCCAGCTTTTATTTTCCATCTTGCATGGAGAACATTTTTCTCCCAATAGCCCATCAGAGCCAAATTCATGACAACCAATGCCAGCTTCCCATCCTGTAGCTCAGAAATATAAGGGCTTCATCCTTGCTCGCTATTTTATGTTTGTTCCATTTTGTTTTACACATTTTCTAATTTTTATCTATTTTTTTGTGTGTTCATGTGAGCAGGGCATGGTGCACAGAAGTATAAGCTTGCTTCACCAGCTTAAGAGAAAACTGTGTCATTTTTACTTTTTAATATTTTATTTCAGTGTTATATAAACACAACCAATACTTTAGTAATATTTTTAAGTGTTACAGAAATTGTAAATGAAGTCAAATTTTTGGTTGAAGAGTGCCTGATTAGTTGCATACTTTAATGATATTCAACTGTACAGAAAATAGGCCTTTATATAGGAGACTTACATGGATGAGTTCTGCTTCCACAAAGGAGACAAATTCATCTTTAAATAGAAACCAACCCGGGCATTTGGGTGCCTCACTGGTTGAGTGTCTGACTTCGGCTCAGGTCATGATCTCGCGGTTTCTGAGTTCGAGCTCCACATAGGGCTCATTGCTGTCAGAGCAGAGCCCACTTCAGATCCTCTGTCTCCCTCTCTCTCTCTCTCTGCCCCTCCCCTTCTCATGCTCTCTCTCTCAAAAATAAATTTAAAAAACATTAAAAAAAAGAAACCAACAACAGCAAAATACAGAGACATTGCAGAGAAAGCAATATATTTACTTATTTTTAGGAGAATTAAATAGAACCAGACAGACCAATTCCATTTCTTGTATATCTGTATGTCTAATTTCAGCATATAAATCTATGTCTTAACTGACAACTCTATTAAACATAGCTTATAAATATATAAATATGCCCACATAATAAAAATTAAAGTTTTCATAGTTTACTGTTTATTTAGTAGTTTTATAACTGTAATGGGAATTTTAAATCAAATTAATATAATTTTTATTTGAAGTTAAAACATCATTATGAAGAAACTTTAACAAGATTTAAGAAACTTATACTTGTTTAAGATCATACAGAATATAGAGTTACAAAGAAATACTTATTTTGGCCAGATGTGTTCTATGTGGATAATTCCAGTCTTATAAATCTGCTTTTCATCCCAGATAAAAAGACTTCCTGAACAACAAAATAAATAATAATAACAATGAATTATAACCCAAATAAAAAGGTAAATATCCATGAGACTATACATAAAGAAATGACTACATAATAAGTAAATAGAGGAGAAATGACAAGATTTCCTTATAGGAGAATTTCAATTAATTAGTGTAAAAGGAATCAGGGAAATAGAAAATTACCATCCAAATGCCACAGTGTTAATTGCTATAGGAAATATCCAGCAATGGATACAAAAATTAATGGGCAAAAGTTTAAGCAGAAACATGATATTTGTATAGTTTCAAAGCGTCTCTCTCCAAGTATTTATTAATTACAAAGAGAGAAATAGTAACTTTACAGTGGAGAAACTTGACAGATATTATATTAAGCAAGTGTTGGAGATTAACATCACCTTAACACTACTGAACTATACACTTAAAAATCTTTAACATGGTAAATTTTGTGTTATTTTTAACAATTGTTTTAAAAGATTAATGTCACCAGTCAATAGGACACATTGACATCATGTACCCCCTGATAATGATGTACTGAGAAGGATACAATATCATTTCTGCAGCATTCTTCCCAATAATGCATAGCATCAATAATCTATGGGGTGCCTGGGTGGCTTAGTTGGTTGAGTGTCCGACTTTGGCTCAGGTCATGATCTCGTGATCTCATGGTTCATGGGTTCAAGCCCTGCATCGGGCTCTGCGCTGACAGCTCAGAGTCTGGAGCCTGCTTCTGATTCTGTGTCTCCTTCTCTGTCTGCCCCTCCCCCACTCACACTCTGTCTCTCTCTCAAAAATAAATAATAAACATTAAAAAAAATTGAAAATAATCTACAGAAGACAAAGACAATCTCAAATTGAGGGACATGTTTGTTAACTAAACTTATTATGGTAATCATTTCACAATACATGTAAATCAAGTCATTATCCTGTATGCCTTGAACATATACAGTACTATATGTCAATTATATCTCAATAAAACTGAAAAAAGTTGAGGAACATTTTTACAAATAACTGACTAGTACTCTTCAAAAGTCTTGAGGTCATGAAAGACAAGGAAAGGTTAAGAAACTATCATGGATGGTAGAAACTAAGGAGACATAATTAAATGTGTTGTAGGATTTTGCACTGGATCCTTGAAAAGAAAAAGGACACTAAGCAAAAAAGTGGCGAAACCTAAGTAAAGTCTGTAGTTTAGTTAATAGAATTGTACCAAGGTTAATTTCTTAATTTTGATAACTGGCAACGGTTATGTAAGATGTTAACATTAAGGGAAGCTAGGTGAAGGGAACTTTATACTACTCATGTGGTTTTGTAAGTCTAAAATTATCTCATAACAAAAAGTTTCTAAAGGGCTTAAATTCCTTATAACTTAAAACTTCCAGTATAAATGTAAGTCTATATATATTTCAAAGTTAAATAGGTTATTGAAGCAATTTGCCCAAATTAGATATTTTTAATTGAATATTTATCATGGCCTTTTTATACAAGAGCACTTTAAAGCACTTGAATTAGGTCTTTGACTAAATACATAGTTATAACGTCACTTGACATTTGAGGGAAGGTAACTGTCCTAATTATTTCCATTCTTTATTTTAATTTGCGGATGGAAATCTGACTTAATCTCAGCTGGTATATAGAGTGCTCTCCAAATTCAAATGGCTCACATCACATTCAGCAAATTGAGACAGAGATGTTTTTAGTTTTTAATCATCAAGTACAATTGGAATTTTCTTAGAAACTTGAAGTCTGAATAAAAATGACAGATCATCAATTAACACAGTGGCTGTCAATCTGAAGTCAATGGCAAAAGTTTTACTGGTCTAAGGCAAAAATGAGCCCAATAATGGCATAATACATTTTTCATAAAATGACGTTTTTAGTTTAGAGGACAGTTTCCTTTATTGGATCACTGTATTATCATTTTTACATTAAAATGCCATTTCCTTTGTGAAATAATGTTACAAATTAATAGTGTTTGTTTTGTTTTAATTATTTTTCCATACATGGAAAAAGAAAAAGTTGACAAATCTATATTTTCCATCCATTTTGTGTATTTGTGTATGTGAACTTTACTATTTGAAATTCAAAGTCTTAGGGGCACCTGGGTGGCTCAGTCAGTTAAGCGTGGACTCTGGATTTCAACTCAGGTCATGATCTCACAGTTCATGAGTTCGAGCCCCGCGTTAGGCATTGTGCTAATGGTGGGGAGCCTACTTGAGATTCTCTCTCTCTCCCTTTCTCTCTGCCCGCTCTCTCAAAATAAGTAAACTTAAAAAAAATGAAATTCAAAGTCTTAAAATCACCATTCTATACAATTTTCTGTCCTTATTCTTACCATCAAGCCAGAGTCTTGTCATTGATTATGGTCACATCATGAAATGTAATCAAATACAGTTAATCCATGACAATTATTTAATCAAATGCAGTTAACCCAGAGGCTTTTAGTTAATAATGTTTTAACTAATTACTATTTACCCAAAAAAGAATTCTATCTTCTTTCTCACTTAAGGCCTCTGATTTCAGCATACCTTAACAATCCTAACCTAAATATACTGAAACACTATTCCATGTTTTGTTCAAGAAAGACCTTTACTCCAAATGAGCAGATTATAACATGATTTATGGAAAACAGTTAATATTAATAAAAAAGACAATTCATTGGTATTCCACATTTGATTTATCCATTCTCAAAATATTAAGGAAAATACTGGAGGCAGACATAGGTTATACCAGTTCTGCCCTAAGCATTTCTAACATTTTAAAAATACCTTATCACTAAATTTTAGTATATCTTGGTCACCAGGTAGACAGCCAGATAGTACCATTCAGAGTCAGTCATAATTCTATGAATGAAGCTTATATCAATGAATATGATTTAAGAAGTATTTTAAGAGATACTTCTGTACCCTAAGAAATCCAGGTACAAATATTGTGCTCTCCTGTACAGGACATATCCTCATGGGTCTGAGTTTACAGACATTTAAATAAAATAAGGCACATGATTAAAGTGTCATTAAAGCAAACTTTAAAAAAAAACTTTTAAGGCAAGTAAGTATGGTTAGGATCATTGAAATATGTTAACATTTTAATATTGGTTTTTTTATTTTAGAATGAGAGAAATTAAAATAGCTTATGAAGGCAAAACCATGATAATCCAAAAAAAAGCCTAACTTCTTTCATGATTCCATTTCATTTTATGAATGATTTGCTAGGAAGTACCTTTTTTCTGTTTCCATGACATCACTTCAGAATCCTCAGAAGCGAAAATGGCCTAAAATCCAATCTGGTAATATCTGAAAATGTATCTTTTCTTAAGGCCACTTAATTGGTATTATCACTTTTTCCTTTAATATCTTTTATTTTGATAGCATTTGTTAATGACAATAAGCCTTACTGATTTTTTTCCCCTCATCTACCTTTTATTCTCCACATTCAAATAACTGTTCCTGATAAGTAAGGGATAGACACCTGTATACAAAGAGAGGTTTCGGCTTGCCTAAGGCCTAAACGACCATTAAGAAATCCCGTCTAACTTAATTTTGGAGAACATTCCTGAACTGAATCTCTTTAGTCTTTCTACCCTTACTCACATTCTCAAATAAGTCAATTCTTTTTTTTTTTCTTTACCTTTCCTTTTACCTGATTATCTATGAGGACCATTCACCAGGCATTTGTGTCCTTATGATTCAAAGATGATCTCCACTTACTAAGGAATAAAAATCTAGAAATTTCTGAGTAATGATAAGCTATATATCTGTTTCTCAAACCTAACTGCTTCCTGATGTATCAAAACTAGAAGCTAGTTTTCTTCTCCATGCATACATAACTGTCTACTAGAAAACAATTTAAAGGCAAAATAACAGGATATCTCTGTGGAACTAAGCATTTCCAGGTCCAGAACTAATGAACTTCCAGAGGACACATGAATAATGATTACTTATAGCTCATGAGCAAGAACTACATATAGTCATCAGGTACTTGGCCATGGCCCTCTGACCCCCGAGACCTATTCCTACCAGAATCTGGGGGTAAACTGGAGCCAGCCTCTGTTTTTGCCTCTCCAGTGCCATGTGGGAAGGGGAAGTTGGGCATAAAGCGCTTAAGGAACCGAAACTCACTATTGCCAGTGCCAGTGGCCGAGCACATTTCATAGGGACATGGCTGAGATAAAGATCCATTGGCTCCTTCTTGTACCAAGTTGTTAGGGAAATTACAGTCATCATAGAAATGCTCTTGAACTGTGAACTTTTCTCTATATTTAACCTTCTGGTAGATGTGTATAACAAAGATCACTGTGACAGAGAGGAGAAAGAGAAAGGAAAGCACAGCCAGAGAAATGACCAAATATTTAGTGGATGGATTTACCCTTGTAGGATGCTTGGATGGATCCCGAAACTGTAGATAGGGCTCAGAAAACCCATCTACCAGCAAAATGTTGAGTGAGGCAGTAGTGGAAAGAGCTGGTTGGCCATGATCCTGAACAAGAATTGTAAGTTTCTGAACCACGGGGTCTCTTTCAGCTATCTGCCGCAGTGTACGGATTTCCCCATTTTGTTGTTGAACAGAGAATAACCCAGTGTCAGTGGCCTTAAGGAGATGATATGAAAGCCAAGAATTCTGACCTGAGTCACCGTCCACAGCCACTACCTTGGTCACCAGGTAGCCTGTCTCTGCAGACCTGGGCACTAGGTCATTGCAGGGCAAGGTGCCATTCTGCAGTGGGTACAAGATCATTGGGCGGTTGTCATTGTCATCCAGAACAACCACTCTGACAGTAACCTGGCTACTCAGTGACAGGAAGCCCCCATCAGTTGCCTTTACCACAAACTGAAACTTTTGAATGGCCTCATAATCCATGGTTCTCAGTGCATAGAGCTTCCCATTGTCTGAATTTATGGAGATGTAAGCAAAGACTGATAAATCTCCACTTTCTGGAGGAAGCAGAGTATATGTTACTTGGGCATTCTCACCCAAATCTAGATCCTCAGCATGAACTTTGCCAATAAAAATTGCAGGGCTGTTGTTTTCTCGAACAGTCAAAATGTATGAGTCTTCCTGAAATATTGGGGGATTGTCATTAATGTCAGATATTAGCACCTCAATCACAGTTTCTGTGAACAGACTGGGTGGCCCAGTATCCATGGCAACAACGGTGATATTGTAGCCTGAGACCTCTTCCCGATCCAAGACTCTGTCAGTAACCAGAGAGTAAGAATTCCGGAAAGTAGGTTTGACTGCAAAGGGAAGGTCTTCTCTGAGGAAGCAGATGATTTTTCCTCCCACTCGAATGTCCCGGTCTCGGATAGAGAAAAGGGCCACTACAGTCTCTAATGGGGAGTCCTCAGGGAGAGGGCTGGACACAGAGGAGATTGTCACTTCAGGAGGATTGTCATTAACATCCACCACTTCCACCAGGACTTTGCTGTGGGCAGAGAGGCCCCCTCCATCGGTGGCTTGAATGTCAATATCATATGTTTCAATTGCTTCAAAATCTAGGGGCCCTCTTAGTCGAACATCCCCAGTCTGCGAATCAATCTGAAACGTCTGGAGAATTGCTTCTGGGTTTTGAGCTAAGGAATAAGTTATATCCTTGTTGGAGCCCTCATCCAGGTCTGTGGCACTCACAGTGACCACCAAAGAACCATTGGCACTATTTTCTAGTACCTGAGCGCGGTACACCAATCTGGAGAACTGAGGCACGTGGTCATTGACGTCTAGAACGACCACACGGATGTGAGCGATGCCAGATTTGGGAGGGGACCCGCCATCCACCGCTGTAATTGTCAAGTTGACTTCAGGCTGCTCCTCTCTGTCCAGGGGCTTATCCAGCACCAGCTCAGCGTATTTGGGCCCATGGCTGCGAAAGCGGGTATGCAGGTGGAAATACTTGTTGGGGCTTAAGGTGTAGTTTTGGAGACCATTGAGGCCCACGTCCAGATCCTGGGCACTCTGCAGAGGAAAACGTGAACCCAAGGGGGTACTCTCCGGAATCTTTAAAAGCGGCTCCTTGTTTAGGAAAATCGGGGCATTGTCATTGATATCAAATACCCTGACCTCGACACGAAAGGACTGCAGTGGCTCCACCAAGACTATTTCAAAATGCAGAACACACGGGTCAGCTTTGCCACAGAGTGACTCCCTATCCAGTTTCTCCTTCACGAACAGATCCCCTGTCTTGCGGTGGAGCCGGAAGTGCACTTTGTTGCCCTCGGAAACCAGCCGCGCCCCGCGCGCAGCCAGCTTCCCTACCTCCAGCCCCAGGTCCTTAGCCACATTAGCCACAAACGAACCGCTCTCCATCTCTTCTGCCACGGAGTAGCGGATGGTTGCTGCACTTCCCACAGATATGCACACAAAAAAGAGAAGAGACCCTACTTGCCTGTTCTGCATGAGCTTTCTGTGCGCAACCGCCATCCGGTCTCGCAAGCGCACTCTCTGCAGCAGCCGCCACCTGTTGCGGGTATACTTCACTTTTCTGCCCACAGATTCTTGGGACTGCTGCTCTCGGCTTTGCTCCTCTGTAACCGCAGCACCGGGCTAGCAAAGCCCGGTAAGCTGTTTTGCACTTGGAAGAAAATTTGCATTGAGCAACTCAACTCCCCAGTCTATCCAGTGTATTAATAGATATGTTCTCATTCTGGAGAGTTAGGCAGAGGATGAAAGTTGTTGCCAAAGCAACGCAGAGTCTTTAATTCCCTTTCAGAAAAAAAGTCCTTGGGAATTAAGAAGCCAATGAGGATAGTCACTTAAGCTGAAGTCACCAATCTGGGAGCCGGCTGGGGCTGCTGCAGCAACCGGCAAACAGCGAGGAGTAAGCAAGCTACCTTGCTTGTCCAGAGATCAAGGGAGAGTCAAAAAGGCAGCTCTTTTTGCCCACGGGTCCTGTCCCTGTGTTTTAATAAAATCACCTATTTTGTACCCAAAAAGGTGGGGGGGGGGGTGGGGAGTAAAAAAGATCCTGCAGTGTCTTTTGGAGCCAGATGGAAGTCAGGCAGGGGCAGGGGTTTGGAGAAAGTGGTCAGCAGGAAAAAGAAAGGGGACAGACAGAGGTTTTTCTTTCAGGAACCTGGTGTCCAGTAGGTACACTGATAGGAGAACTGGCCAACTAGGCTCTTGATATGCACAAATCCATTCCTTTCCTAGAACCCTCACCCTCAAGAAGCAGTTGGCTTGGCACTTAGGATTATAACGATAGTAATATTTACTGGGTATGGTTTCTATATAGCACTGGGACTGTGTTAAATGGTTTACATGCATTATTTAATCCTTGCAACAGCTCTATTAAGTACACATTATTTCTTTAACATTTTTTAATGTTTATTTTTGAGAGAGAGAGAGAGAAACTGTGAGTGAAAGAGAAGAGACATAGAATCCAAAGCAGGCTCCAGGCTCTGTGCTGTGGGAACAGAGGCCAACACGCGGCTCGAACCCACAAAATGCGAGATCATGACCTGAACCCAAGTCCATGTGCTTAACCGACTGAGCCACCCAGGTGCCCCTCTTTTTTTTTTTTTTTTAAAGACAAAGAAACAGACTGGAGAATTTATGTCACTCTTCCAAGACCCCCTGCCTCATAAGGATTAGAGAAAGAATTCAGTTTAATTTTGTCTGACTCCAGAGTCTCTGCTCTTAATCAGTATATTACGGTGTTTCCCAAATAACACAATGGATAAATGAAATGAAAATGTTTGGCTTTGGATTTGAAAGGAAATGAAATAACAGACTACTTAGATATATTGAAAATGACCTGATAGAAATTTGGGGGATACTTGTTCAGAGTTTCTTTTACAATCATTAGATCATAGAATGTTTAAGAATGATGAACCAACTCAAAAAAGATAGGGTCCAATACTCCCCTCAATTTTTTTAAAGATTAAGAAACTAAGGCCCAAATGATGAAATTACTTGCCCAGTTCATACAGCTATTCCTGGCAGTAGGAACTAGAACCTGTCTTTTGACACTCTCATCTCATGTCCATCAAAAGCATTTGGTGAGTCCCCATTTGTGCTCAGCATTTTCTATGCTAGGTGCTATAGAAAGAGTTACTGCCACTTATGAGAAATCTAAACCATATTTTCCAAATGAGAAAAAAAATGACTGAAAAGTGTATATAATGTTATTGACATCCTGACATGAAGGAATTAATGGATCCCCCAATCTCCATTACCTAAATTAATATCTAGCTTAAGTGTGCAGCCCTAAACAGTTTAATTTTGCCTCTTTAAAAAACTGTATATAGGGGTGCCTGGGTCACTTAGTTAAGCTTCCGACTTCAGCTCAGGTCATGATCTCACGGTTCGTGGGTTTGAGCCCCGCATCAGGCTCTATGCTGACAGCTCAGAGCCTGGAGCCTGCTTCTGATTCTGTGTCTCCCTCTCTCTCTGCCCCTCCCCTGCTCACACTGTCTCTCTCTGTCTCTCAAAAATAAATAAATGTAAAAAAAACTGTATATAAAAGTACATACAATAAAATCTACAGAAGGTAATATTTTCACTATGCTAAAAAAAACCCTTAACATTTATGATGAGTAATCTTTTAAGTCTAGTTTGTTTCCCTCATTATTTAGCTCCATGTGAGACTGACATTTTTGTGTTTAGTTCTTGTTCACCCATTTCCATTGCTGTATAGAATTCCAGAGTATTGTCAATACCCTTTGGCCACAGAGCATCAGGAACGCACCTGTAGTTGAAAAGAGCTGTATTTTCTGACTCCAACAAGGGAGATTGCATACCACAGAGAATCATGGGGAATCACAGTAAGAGGGTGTCAGAAAGGACTTAGAGTATTTAGTCTTGTGCAAGGTGATCTGGGGTGCTATGAAGAAGGACTTTACTCTGGATGGGATGCTATAAGCAATGGAGTTGATACTATAGTTGGGTGTATTAATAATTCTTATATTGGGGCGCCTGGGTGGCGCAGTCGGTTGAGCATCCGACTTCAGCCAGGTCACGATCTCGCGGTCTGTGAGTTCGAGCCCCGCGTCGGGCTCTGGGATGATGGCTCAGAGCCTGGAGCCTGTTTCCGATTCTGTGTCTCCCTCTCTCTCTGCCCCTCCCCCGTTCATGCTCTGTCTCTCTCTGTCCCAAAAATAAATAAACGTTGAAAAAAAAATTAAAAAAAATAATTCTTATAATTATCTTATATCTTATATAATTCTTATATCTTCTCTATAATTCTTACATAGAAAAGGAGAAGGTAAATCTGTGATTGGCAAACAAGCTGTGACTGGTAAATCATTTTAGCACAGAGGGATATTTGATCATTTTTGTGGACTGGACAGTGTTCTTTTCTGTCTATATTCAGGCATGATTAAGGTGTGTTCTTGTTTTAATTTTGATCTATCACATTACACAGCCTCGTGTAATGCTGGTGTTCTATGAAATTGTTTTCGTTCAGCAGGAGAACACCATGGCCCAGCCTGGAGTATCAGGGCTGCTAGCAGTCAGGCATTGCTTTTGTCTTTTTCAGTATGAGTGCAGCAAAACTCATTTACTCATTCTATTGTTCTACTATTCACAGCAGCGTGCCCTTCTATATGTCACCTTGTAGACTTGTGTACATAATTTGGGGGAGGGGACATATACCTAGAAGAGGCATTGATGTCATGGGGTATGTTCTTTTTCGCTTTACTTCATATTGCCAAACTACTAAGAGGTTGTACCAATTTATACTCTCATCAGCAGTGTAACCTCCAGCTGTGCAAATTCTTACCAACACCTAGCATTACTCATCTTTTTAAAGTTTAACCATTCTTGCTCTCCCAGTGTGGGTTTAATTGCATTTCTCTGATGATTAATTACTGATGAGGCAGGGCACTATGTAATATGTCTTTAGTCACCTGGTTATCCTTTGGGTGGGGGGACGGTTGTTCAGTTCTCTTGCCCAGTTTTTACACTGAATCACTTATCTTTTTTCTATTGATTTGTAACTCTTCATATATTCTGAATATGAATCCTGAATATCTCTTTATAAGAAAATGAGACATATTTACCCTTAGTTGATATATATCTCCAGAATTTTTGTTTAAAAAGGCAATATTTCTCCCAGTGTTTCACACATTATGTGAAAACTTATGGCCTCCTAGGGAATCTTTTCAAAAACTGAGATACAATTGACATGCAAGATTATATTAGTTTCAGGTGTACAACATAATGATTCGGTATTTGTATGATTATGAAATGATCACCCCAGTCAGTCTAGTCAACATCTACCACCATATGGAGTTACAATTTTTTTTTTGTAATGAGAACTTTTAAAAATTTATTTTAATTCCAGCCAACAGTTATATTAGTTTCAGGTGTACAATATAGTGATCCAACAATTCCATACATCACCTTGTGCTGAGAACTGTTTTACCATGCAAAGTAAAATACGTTTACTTGCCATCTTTAATTCTTGTTAGGTGAAGTGTCTGTTAAGGTCTTTGACTCAACATTTAGTTTGTTTATTTTCTTGTTGAGTTTTAAGAATTTTTTGTATATTTTAAATATATATTAATCTTGCTTATTTATCAGATATGTCTCTTGCAAATATTTTCTCCTAACTTGTGATGTGTGTTTTTGTTCTCTTGAAATTGTCTTTCACAGATAAGAAATTTTTAATTTTAACGAAGTCAAGCTAATCAAGTATTTCTTTCATGGATCATGCCTTTGGTATTGTACCTAAAAATTTATCTCCACGCTCAAGTTCATCTAGATTTTCTCCTATCTTCTAAGAGTCTTATTGTTTTCTGTTTCTATTTTACTGTAAGATCCAGCAGTTGCTCTCCTTGTTATTTACCCAAAAGATATGAAAACTAAGGTCCATGCAAAGCTCTGCACACAGAGGTTTAAAACAGCTTTATTCATAATTGCCAGAGCTTGGAAGAAACCAAGATGGCTTTTAGCCTTTTTTGAGATAATCTGTGAAGAGTATAAGGTCTATGTCTAGAATTATTTTTTGCTTGTCAATGGCCCGCTGTTACAGCACTCTTTTTTGAAAAGACCATGTTTTTTTCAATTGCATAGCCTTTGCTCCTTTGTCGAATATCAGTTGACTATTTTTATGTGGGTCTATTTCCGGGCTTTCTATTCTAGTCTGTTTGTCTATTACTTTGCCAATACCATGGTGGCTTGATCAGTGTAGCTTTATAATAAGTCTTGAAGTTAGGCAGTGTCAGTCCTCTGACTTTGTTCTTTTTCAATATTGTGTGGGCTCTTCTGGGTCTTTTACCTCTCCATATAAACTTAGAATCAGTTTGTCAATATCCACAGAATATCTGTTTGGGATTTTTATTTGGATTACATTGATTACACATCAAGTTGGGAAGAATGGACTTCTTGACAATATTGAGTCTTCCTATCCATGAACATGGAATATCTCTCCATTTATTTAGTTCTTTGATTTATTTCATCAGAGTTTTATAGTTTTATAGATCTTGTACATATTTAGGCTTAGGTTTATACCAAAGTGTTCCGTTTTTTCAGGGGTACTAATATAAGTGGTATTGTGTTTTAAATTTTAAAATCCACTTCTTCATTACTGGTATATA